GACTAGTATAGAGTTCTGTCTCTGGTTTGGTCCAGGGATGTCCTTGGGCTAAAATGTGTGATTGTTGACTCTGGTTGTTTTGAAAGTATCCTCGTGGACCGTTGCTACGAGGATAATGATTTCCGTGTCGGTCTTGAGGAAACTCTCGTTGAGAGGACTTTGGATTTTGAAGCCTCATGTTGTTGTCGTACTTCAGTGCTTGGTCCTGGATTGACTCGAAAAGGGCGGTCAGAGTTGCATATTGACGAGTTTAGGCGAGGCATTTTAGGTAATCTGGCAATGATTCGAAAAATAAATCGACTGCTAATCGGTGGGCTTGATTTGTGATTGCCTCGCGGTCGTCGTCCGGGACCGCTGCTTGGATTTTCCGGAGGATGGACCGTAACCGATAATAGAAGCTTTCTACCGCCTCGTAAGTTCCTCTCTGGGCTGAGGTTAGTTTTGCGAGATTTATACGGAGAGGATCTCCGAGTCGGAAGTGACTACGTAGAACGCTGACGAGTTCTTGTACGGTGTGGATTTCCATATCTTCTACTACGTTCCTTGCACGACCCTTGAGTTTTCGTAAAATACGACTGATGAAGGGTTGTTGGTTAGTTTCGGGCATCATATGGAGCCATTCTTTTAGCTGGCGGTCGAATTCTTCGTAGCTGACATCTCCGTCTCCGGTGAAAGTGGGAAGAGCTTCCTCCATCTCTTTGGTGATTTTGTAATAATTCTTTTCAGGTTCTTCTCGTGTGAGATCGAACAATTTGACTTCAGGTCGATTGGCGTTGTTGGCTTCCTCTTCCTCTCTGCGGCGTCGTTCAGCTTCTCTGGCTGCTGCAGCTGCTGCTGCTGCTGCTGCAGTTTGTTCTGGGTTAGGAGGTGCCATGATGATTGTTGTTTTCTCGACTGAGTACGTATTTTAAACAGTCCGGCTGGAGCTGGGACGTTGCTTATTATTTTGGGCTTCTTGGATGATGGTTCTTCGACCAAGCAATTTAACTGGATTACTGCGATTTGATTTATCCAGTTGATAACTTTCGTACGTGCGTCAAAAGGGACTGATTCGTTCAGATCTGGTAACGGTCTTTCCTCTACATTCCTCGATGGAATTCGGATTTGTCGGGGTTTAATACAATTTTCCGGTTTATTAATGAGAGTAGTCTTCCTTTCTCTTATGACCGGGGTAGAGGAGTTGGCAAACGTAGGATCTTCCCAATAGCGAGATTCTATTATGGGGCGGTGATAGATTTGGCCACTAAAGAAATCTGAATAGGCCTTTCTGATTTGAAATTTAAAACCGCTACGCGAATGTCGTACCATTAATTATTTTCTTTTGGGTTCTATAATTGGCACTCCATGACTTGATCAAAAGGTAAGTATAAAAATAAAACAAAGAACGAATTGATAGAGGAGAAAAAAAAGTTTTTAATTTAGATCAATTGGTACTATGAAGCCTTGCCCTGTATAATTTTGAATCAAGATTTTCTATGATTTCTCGTTGCTCGATAGACAGCAGCGAGAAAGAAAACTTGAGTCGCAAAAATATAAAGAGTTAATTTGCGGTTTGCTAAATCGGCAGATCAATCTCAAGAACGGTCTCGTTGCTCGATAGACAGCAGCAAGGTGTCTTGAAACCGATTACCGTATCAAGGAACTGCCAGTATCGCAGCAGAACCTCGTAAGCAAATGTAAATTTTACTCAACGGTAAGTCACGGCTGTGAGTACGATAAATATGATATGGTTAGTTCTAACTCAACAAAAAAAAAATTTATTAAAACAGTAAAAATATATTAAGTCTATTGATACTATGTAGCTTTGCCTAGTATACTGTTGACTCAAAATTTCCTGTGAATTTTCGTTGCTCGATAGACAGCAGCAAAAGAGAAAACTTTGTATCTCAACAGTGTAAAGAGTTGACTTACGGTCCGCTAAATCGGCAGATCAATCTCAAGAACCGTCTCGTTGCTCGATAGACAGCAGCAAGGTGTCTTGAAACCGATTTCCGTATCAAGGCACTGCCAGTATCGCAGCAGAACCTCGTAAGCAAATCGTAAGTTTACTCAACACTAGGTTACAGCTGTTAGTATGATATAGTGACACACTGACCGAGATATCAACGTACTTCACAAAATTTCCGCGTCAGCAAAAGAAAAATGTGTAAGTATAAGAGTACAATGACTCGTAGCCTACACGTAACGTGATACCAAACGTATTACGATAATAAATTTAAATGGACGAGATTAAAAGTGTGTCAATGAACTGAAATAATTTTGTCAACAAAAAATTAAATGTTTATGTGCAAGAGAAATAATAAATGGTATTTTATTCGCAATAAAAAAAATTGAAAAATATTTTAAAATTTTATAAATTTATGAGTTTAAAGCAAAATTGAAATAAAAGACGGGAATATAAAAGGATCGACTCGTTCATAAGACAAAAGAATTCCGTTTTCTAAAATTTTGTGACGGTTTTTAACCGAGATTTTTTTGAAAAGTAAAGGTTTTTGGAATTTTAAACAAGACTCCCGCTTGTGGTAAGCCGAAAGGATGCGTTCGAATCCCACCGCTGCCACCAAAAATCTAATCTGTTATGTCCGAATTAATTATAGTTAAATAATTATTGGTAGAGTGGGCCTTGAGGAGGCTCGGACACGTTTTGAGATAGATTTTCTCTTGTAGACGAGCTACAAGAGTTTTATTTTTAATGTAGGTTTCGAACGCCTCCCGGTAACCAGGAGTTCCAACGGCGAATTTAAAGGGGAAGTCGATATCAAATGCTGAACTCACAGTTGTCTTTATGATTTACATTGTTGATTTGAATTAGAGCTACCGATCGGTAGATCCTTGGTTGGTTTCTATTCCTTCTCTCGTGGTTGAGATCGATGTAATGAAAGAGGTTCAGGAACTAGTCTTAGAAATGATGGAGTCCACGATATTCAGGTTTTTAATGTTTATTCAATATTTAGCCCTAAGGGCTAGACGCACTCAATGCACAATATTTCACTTAATAACTATTCACTTATAACTATATTTTGTGATTAGCAATGTTATTATATGAGTTCGTGAACAGAGTTACGACTCACAAAGATCCGTCGTTATAGATCGAAAGATTTGAATTTAGAGAAAGATACCACTACGGACAACGAGGCCCTCGATACAGCTCGAAGAGCACACTGGCGCGGTTCGTAGAAGGCATAATTTAAAGAATCAAAATGAGAATAATGAATTTAGAAGTTTTGTGTAAGCGACCTAGTGCTTTACACTGCCTCGTACGTAACGCGGTACAAGGACCCACACGGGTTCTACGAAGATACCTTCCTTCGTATTCTTTGATAAAAGACCGAACATTTGATCCGTGGTATTT